CCTTGTAATCAATCCATAAAAATGTAGTCCTTTATCAAAATAGCCATTTACGTCCACAAAGCACGGTAAAACATAATACTTTTACTATATTTATTTAAACCAACTACTTTATGAAGTATTTGAATCATTTTGATACATTTTCCAGTTCAATTAATGCAAGAACGTATTTATTTATCACGATTCTTGATAAAATCACCGCTTGTGGTGGCAAGGGTTACCGGAGGATGGCGCGTGACCCTTGTTACGCAGGATGGATGAACCCCTAAGGTAGTAGAAGAAGACGTCGTATGTAGGCATTGGCAACAAAGGTACTCAGTCTGGGTACGAAATCCCCACTAGCCACCGACTATGTTATAACTATTATGCAGAACTCGTGTTGGACGTTCGTGATTTAATACATCGGTTGTTTGACGCAAGTGTGTAAATATGCAATATTTTGAAATAAAATCATATTTCGCGTGATACTATATTAATATGCGTGTGTCTTTTTTCATTACTTTCATACAACATGAAGTACGGGGGATAGCATTTGTATTTAAATATGGTAATTAGTATTGCAATGCTGTATAAGGACAGGTAGAGAATAGAAGAAAATCAGAAAACCATATATACTCAATTATTTCAGTGATTTATCCGTAAAAGACCAATCAATATTATAATGACATTTTGCAAATTGGCCAGTTTAATTAACATATTGATACCCCCTATCACTCTATAAAAGCGACAATTTTTGTACAAATGTCGGACAACAAATTTGTTTGTATCCTATCTCAAGAATAATCTCTTGGGTTTATGTCGGGTTTATTGTCGGCCACTTAGAAATATAGCTATCTAGCGAATTTGACTCAATGTATCAATTAACAGAATCCTAATTTAGCTAAAGTGTCAACAATCTCATTATGAGAAAAGCCTTTTTTCAAAATTAGCTACACCTGAAATTCACAGATTTAAATTAGTTTTATTAGTATCAGGCAGTAGTGCTTGGTGAACTATGACCTAACTTGACCCCGCGTCGTGTCAAAAAAAAACCGTTGACAACATTTGACTTGCAATTGTGTGGCATCAACGAGCAGTATCCGGCTTTTTTGACCATGTTTACCTCCTCACACATTGCGAACTTCCACACCACGGTTCTTAAAATAAGTAACCGTGATCACACGGACTGTGTTTGAGTCTATTTTTTCCGAATTCACGCCGACGAACGGATTAATGATGCCGCCGTCGACAATGTAGGCTTGAAGAACACTTTCCGGTGTCGACGATACTGGCGCATATGGTAGGCTGTCTTGCACAACGAAAACGCTGATAGCTCATGATAATTTCCGGCCATTTCACGGGTTGAACTGACTGAATTGTTTATCGTAGACTATTCTGCTTTGTTGTCATAACAACAGGATATATAAACGCGCCAAATATTCAAGTGAAACGAAGAAGTTTTTCAACAACACGACAGTTTTGTTTGTTTTTATCGTGATCTATGTGTGATGCGTTAGGAAACCAAGATGGAGGCGCGCACTGTAATATTACATGTCGTGCTCGGCGTGTTTACAACAGTAAGTCAACCGTATTTCTTTCGTATATTCATGTAGTTGTACAATGTCGATAGTTGTTTCTGTTTTGTGTGAAATCCATATATCGTCTTCATTATAGTAAGACTTATATCAATACCATGGCGTCATATTTGCACTGGTACACAGATTTATACAACCAGCACATTTAAAAAAAAAACACAAAAAAAAACACGTGAATTTATTTAATTTATTGTGTCTGTAAAATCAATATATATAATAAAATAGTCAAGCATCTTTGAAAAAACGGGTATATGTAAAAACAAAAATAATCCACCATTTCCTCATTACGTTGGTATCCATGGAAACATATAACAAACACTAGTAAATCTATGATTCATTCGTTATTTTTAAGCATGTGCAAAAAAAAAAAAGAATTAGTCCTGATGTTGTGTTCAGATAGAGGCAAGACCATGACTGGACTCGCGTGACTTTAGCCGAAATTACACCCTAAATTCAATGACTATTCTATAATTATTCCCAATGTTTCCTATAACAGACTGTATATACCTACTCATTTTTACATTCCCATATGGTATTCATCATAAGGATGTTTGGTACAGTCTCACTTTTGCATTTTATTACTATACAGAATGGAATGCACAGACTCCACTAGTATATAGACTTGTGTGATAGTGAACATAACCCAAATTTGGAGAAAAATGATTACATTTTATTTTATTTTGGGGATTTATCAAGTGTATACTCCATGTGAAAAACGATAGAAAATTACAATGCTTTAAAAAAATGGTATAACCTATATTTTGAATATACTTGAGTAAGCTCATTAATTTTTATGTTACAAACCTTTTGAAGTGAACGTGAAAACATTTGACATTATAAAAAACAATCTATCACATAATGTATTAGTGTATAGCAAAGTATGAAAATATAGATACTATTTAAAAAGAGCAGGTGAGCTATTATTTTTAATTGTAGAAAAAATCCATAATTACCTTGATTTAAAATTTGAAAGGATAACTTTTTACTTTTCTTCAAAGAACCTTTGTATTCACTGTGGTATAGGATTTTTTTCAAACACTGGCAGGTTACCCCAACTTGTTATTATTGTTTATAATAAAATAATCTCCAATTAAACAAAATAACTGTATCCAATATCCTTTAATTGAAACATGTTTACTATCACAATCTTTTGAAATAAGTAATGATTATTAAGTATTCTAATATGCAGTCTTGTGAATCAATGTCAGTGTTTTATAAAAAGCTTGATTTAATGTCACAATTCAGATGATCTATGTTTTCAAAGGAATCTAAGACAAAAAGATGCACATACATAGAAACCAATGCATTCAATATTATTTTACCAGGATTAAATTTGTCTGTATGTGCTGGGTACCAGGAACATTCATATGAATGCAATGGTTTTGTTTCTTATTTGTCTTTTCCATATTACAGGTAATTTCTAACTTAATTACATCTGTGGTGTCGCAAGACTATTGCCATGGTGGCAGTAAGAAAGAACTAAATTGTAGTTGTGGTCCTCCACCTGATTTTACCTTATCATTTCCAGAAACAGGTGAGAGTTTTTTTTACTACATCTTACTTTATTTTTTGTGTGCTAATTTAAGAATATTTCTCAAGAAACGCTGTATTAATTCTCAATTATTGATGAATATTGGCCTACTAGGATATCCAGAAATTTATTTTAGCTGATTTGTCTATTGTAAAAAAACCTTTCATATTGTAAAAACACGTTTAAATTCGCATTGTCTGTCCTCAATCTTGTTTAATAATTAGTGGTTTTATTTCTTAGCAAATACTACTGCTACACCACCACGGTCTGTTACAGGTATTTAACTGTAGTTTAATATTACAACTGCAATCCTCTTTGTTTTTATTTACTTTGTAAAATATGTGCTTATAAAATATTTACAGTCTTATATAATGAGGTAATTTCATTTTCATGGTCTTAATTTCTTATTGCTAATGTTAATCAATAATTTACTTATAATTATATTGTGTGTTTCCTGTGAAATGATAAACTGATGATGTGTTCTCACACCTCTCAGGAGTGGTTATTCCTCTTATATTATTATAATACCGATTTCATTTTGAAGGTAATTCTGAAATACAGGAATAAAAGCAGCACGAACCATACATACAAATGTACAGCATCTGAAACGTTCTACATACAACCATGGTAAAATACATGTAGAACTGGGCCCTGGAACTAGCGTACATCTATTATTGATAAAAGGAATGGCCATGCTAATTCACATCGTCCTGTATTGCATGGTTTATTCGTGTAGTTCAGTGTTAGCAGCATCTTTGATAATCAACAATACTAATGTTTCCATGAACAAGCAACTGCAGAATATATTCATTTATTTTTTACATTGTTCTTATTTGAAACAAAAATACCTGAGATTTAACCTTTGGTTCCTTTTTCTGAACACGGTAAACCAGGGTATATCATTTATTTTAACACGGCGTACATAGTTAAAAAAAACTTGACTAATGAGATGACGTCATCATTCAGGCAATTAAAATAAAGGTATAATATAATACAGATTTCACAGTAATATACCAAAATAGCAATCCAAGACATTCAATATAATGTGAAACTATATATCAAATTTCTAAAAATGTGAACCTTTAAAGCAATACAAGGAAGTTACGGGGTGTTTATACTTGTTAGCAATTACCCTTTGTCTGTATGTTCGAAAACAAAGAGATATATACTCACGGCTACACCTATTTTAAGCAGCCACTGATTTACTTGAGTAGACACTGCCTTCTACATGTAGAAATATAAATCTGCCTTTTTCTGTAATCATGGTATGCAAGTAGTCTAGCCTAGCATCAGACTTGGATTGTAAATAAAATGTAAAGCACATTGGTTGACAATACTGAACGCGGATATCAAGAAACCTATATCTAGTTTATTAAACCATTCAACTAATCAACTGAATAGAAATGTATGTGATTACTAAAGGTACATGGAATTAATATACCGTTACTTACTCATAATCACAAATAATTTAAAATAAATTAACCATTGTTTTATTACTAGTATATTTACATGTTTATTGCCTGATATAAATGTAAATCTGTGTGGTACCATGTGGAAAATGATTTTGTCATAAATCTTTGCTTATTTTTGTAATCCCTTGTAGCTGTTAACGCCCTGAAAAAAAATATGCATATTTCTGGTCATTATGAAAACAGAAAAATCCCATTTCATGCAATTTATTAGAAAGTGATTGTAGACATACATTTATTCTTATATTTTATCGATCTGTTTTATACTAAATAAAACACCTTTTGTGATTCTGGAAGATAGGTTTTTTTTTTTTCTTTTTTTCTCCAGGCTTCAAAATACTTTGCACGATGCATGTTGTTTTTCAATCCGTGCTGTAGAAATATAATAATGCTAAATACAAATAGATTCCATGATTAAAAAAAATTACCGGTACTATTATTTATGACAAAAAGTCATAGTAGTCTAGATATGGGAAAAACCCCATATTTCCTGCATGGTGCAAGTAATACTCAAAACAAACTTGCACACTGTGTATGGAAGTAAAAATTCCTATTTCAGTCCCTGTTCACCATAAGCTGTGTTAGGTTATTGTTAGAATATAAAATTACTAAAAAATAAATGATAACATAAAATTATCTTTATACAACTAAGTCCTTGTCATTTGCTGCTTACAATGTATAAGGAAGGAAACAATAGAACTTTGGTGAAATGACCATAGCTAGAAAGCACAGAATTTATTTAGTTTTTTAGCCCAATATTAAAAAATAGTATTTGTCCTGAGAACAGTGTCTGTGAAAAGGTCTGTATTGTCTGCTCTTATGAGTTATCAAAATATTTTACATCAAAAAATTTAAAAAAATTATTAATTGAAATTGCTAATTATCATAATTTATGCACACCATTCAAAATTATCATAGACTATGCAGTCCATTGCTAATTAACATAATTTAATACACTGTTTGCCAAGTATCATAATTTAGTCATGCAGAACGTCTGCCAGGCTCGTCAATAATACCAATAGTTTATATATTTATATTCACCATTTGGCTTCAATAATACTGTAGTATCTGTTTTAGTAAAACACAAACTGAACTTTTAATTAGGTACAACAGCAATAAGAGAGCAAATTTTCAGATATTAGGGAGTATTATGCATGACTAATTAATTTATTATACAAAGGATGATGCAACACTGTGTTTAGGTGACATATAAGGTCTATCTATTGGTCTGTATCAATATCACCATACCTGGTACATGTAACGCAAACACTACATTGAATGTATGAAATTAATTTACTACCAGGTAAAAAGTGTCAAGGTGAAATTACATCCTATTCATGATGAGAAAATTGTGCTAGGTACATCGCTAAAAGCACTTTACGTTTGTTCTTAAATCAATAGTTATCAAGTAAATGCAGATAATTTATTAAATCCAACACAACAGTGTCTAATATCTAGATGTTGATTTAATGCCTTGTGTGCAAGCATGAACATGTTCTGTAATAGAGATCCCCAACACTGAGTAGTTTCTGGTTTAAAATCGCTGCAGGCCAGATTCTAAAGGAGTTCTCTAACTTACACTGGGTACAAGCAAGATTCATACATGGAGTTAGTAAATTCCCTAGAAAAGTCCCTACGAACATTGCAATATAGGGGGGGACTTCCTTATTGGTGCTATCAAATGTTTTGTTATGTAAACAATTTGCTACATTTTATGACAATCTCACATCTCCTGGCACCACTTGATTTTTGACTAATTAATTTTTGTCTAGGTATCACTTTGGCTAGGTTGTTTTCTGTTTTCATATTGCAACATTGTTGTGACTACAGAAAGAAAGTTGTGAATTATCGGTATGAATCTTATTTGCGGTGTCCTCAACAGTCTGGGGGAAGTTCATAGGGATATTGCAACATTGAAAGGGAGTTTCCCGAGAAGTTGCAAGTTACCTGTATGAATCTTGTTTGTGTCCGCTGTAAACCACACACACATATACACATATACAAGTTTTACCATCGTTGTGACGACATGCATTAGATTAACTTTTAATACTGTTGAATTAACTTATAATATAGTTGCGATATGTTTGGGTTAAAACGCGAGTATATAGGGTTGTGATGTAATTGGAGTTTAATTAATCTAAATTGTATTGCAATTATATTGAATTGCATTTTATTCTAAGTTTAATTAAATGAACATGCAACAAAGAAAAAAGAACATCATACATCTTGTGACTTAAAATGGAAATGTTTGCGAAGCTAAGGGTTAGTAAAGGGGGTAGTTATGGTACTGTTATATTACCCGGTAATATAAAGTGTACCATACCTTTACTAACCCTTACTAACTAACAAATTTGGCTTAAATTTAATTAAATGTTAATATGAATTATGAAAAATAGTGAGGGTCGTCACTTGATAGGTTGACATACTTGGACTGAATTTCATACATTCATCAGACACCATAACAGACAAATACACATGCATTTTGTCACCATCAAATCCAAAATGGCTGACTGATGATCATTTTTTTTAAATGAATGCAGTTCCATAGAGCCATATCTCATACATGCCTGGCCAATCAACATTAAACTCCAGAATATATTGTGAATTTGAATGGTTCACTTTTTCAGTACCAGGTCTCCAGTTATTGTATGTATTTACATTTACAAATGAGGTAATGTTACTGCATAATAATTAGCTAATTTGCATAAATCTGACTTGATTTAAGCATGCTTCATTTACAGGTACATATCGCAGTGTGATGTCTGATCACAGTTCTGGGCATTTCATTTGTGGTTTGAAAACTTTTGTGTCGGTTGTAATATAATAACAAATAATTGTGTGATAGATCAATTTAATGAGGCTCATGCTGTGACTTCAGGATTTTAATTATTCTTAATTGCTTTGAGATGATCCTATGTTAATGATAATAGTAGTAAATCAAAATTGAAACCAGATTTTCCTAAAATAAGGTTGTCTTGATACTGGGCATTACACAATGTTGTTTCAGTGATAAAAACACCAATAGCTGCTCACTGTTTTATGATAATTTAGCAGAGTAATCAAGAGTGTGATGACCCTGCCCATAATATATTATGCATGTATTGCTCTTCCGAAATTCAGTTCCATCTTGGCACTGTGATGTCATATATACAGGATCTCAGGTTTCAGCATCTGAATTAATTGATTTAGCGATGTGTCATTAATGTCAAAATTTGCTGAAAGTACCTATTTAAATTTGTGAAATTGTTGTTTGCCTTTATCTTACCAACAGTGTATAATAGACTTTTTCAAGTCTTTGGATTTTTTTATATCTTGCAAATATATTGCCCATTGCTAAACAAGGTCATATGCGAACTTTTTCGTATCAAGTTAATGAAATAATGTATTTTGAACTACATAATGATAAAAAAAAAACCTTAAAATAAATTTACAACAATTTAAGTAATTTGCCTTATGCTAACAAATGGGTGACAGAACATGTTCATGAGAAACTGTCTGCGTGTCCACTTTGAAAACACCACTTTTGAGGAAAACTACATTGAACTCCCATAATTAACTACCATGTTTTGATTTAATCTAAATTATCTTATTAACTTTTTAATTTGTATTTGTTTTATTGTTCGTGTTCTAAAAACCCTCTCATTCTAGAATCAATTTAATTAAGTTAATTAGCCTTGTATTCTTCCTTGCAGGCCCAGAAACTGGTCAAACACTGAATGTAAGTTCAGGTAGGATAAATAATTTATTTCACTATCTATACACTCATTTAAACTCCTGTCGAAAAACCTGTACATTCTTTCATTTATCCGTCTATTCAGCAATTTTTTCGATGTGATGTCTCAAACATCAGTGATCAGAAACGAACGTAAATGAGCTTTCATACACATGGTCTATGGAATTTTGGCAGCAGGTATGAATATGTATTTTAATTCAAACTATAAAGTTTTAATACTTTATCATTTCAGAATGTAATGCTGGATGTATAGCAGGATGTGTCATCGGTTGTCTATTTCTTATCTTCCTGATTATCGCTTTACTTTACTACTTCAAGCGAAAGAGGAAGCTGTAAGTTTATGTCTTAGAATATATTTTACTTTCAAGAAAATGTGTTTTTCATTGACTTTTTTTTGGGGTTGGGTATGGCAACCAAATCCCTTCATCTACATTTTCTGTACCAGTATTTCCATATCTTGTTTGGTCTATATTATGTGATAAAAGAAGTACAGTTTCATTCGCAACAATCATCTCAGCTTTTAATTATTTAATAAATATGTCTTTGAAACCATATGACAATTTTTTTTTTTTTTTATCCTTCAACCCATTAGGTCCCTAAGGTATCTGTGATTTTTTCTTATTCTGTTAGTATTCCAGTGATCGTTGGATGACAGTAAATATGTTTGGACAGATTACTTTCATATGTTTACTCATGGAGCATGTGAATTAATTGAGATTTTGTTACTAATTTCATATTCATAGTTGTTGGAAAATTACAGAAGACAACAAGAGTAAAAGATTTCGTATAATTAAACCCCGTAGAAGTTCTGTGTCCCCATCACCACCAGCAGCAGAGAGAATGGAAGCTGCAGAGTTAGGACACGGTAGGCCACTACTAAGGATATACTTACTTACTTTCACTGAAATTTACATCTGTGTATTGAGTAATGTGAAGGGGCATTATTTGTGCTGGTACCGGTATTTCTCAATCCAGTCAAAGGCATTTATTTGTGTGTGTACCTTATTTCATTGATTCATTTGATCCAAATTGGCAAAGGGTACACAAAAATTGCATGGTTGCAATAATGGGTTCTACAAAAACTGGTTTGATAGTCTGATAGTTTTTGACTCCCGTGTGCGAAGCGCAAAAAGGGAGTCTTTGCAGTTAGTGTGTCTGTCTGTGTCTGTGTCTGTGTGTTTGTCTGTTCCACTGATATCTCAAGAACCATACATTGAGTTTTGATGAAACTTAGTGCGTAGATGCTCTGGGCCAATGCGCAGATTTGATTAGGTTTTGGTAAAAATCCATGCATATTAATTACCTAATTTGCATGATAATTGGCTATTTTTTAGTGGTTCCATGGGTGTTCCACTGATATCTAAAGAACCACTCATTGGATTTTGATGAAACTTAGTGCGTAGATGCTCTGGGCCAATGCGCAGATTTGATTAGGTTTTGGTAAAAATCAATGCATATTAATTACCTAATTTGCATGATAATTAGCTGATTTTTAGCTGTTCCATGATTGTTCCACTGATATCTAAAGAACCACTCATTGGATTTTGATGAAACTTGGCACATAGATGCTCTGAACTAATGCGCAGATTTGATTAGTTTTGGGTAAAAATCTGTGCAATACTAATTACCTAATTTGCATAATGATTATTTAATTTTTGGCTTTTCTACTGATATCTCAAGTACTAATCTTCACATTTCAATAAAACTTGGTACATAGATGTCATAGGACTCTGCACAGACCTGATGGTTTTTAGGGTAATATCAGTACATATTAATTACTTAATTTGCATAATTAATTAATTTTCAGCTTTTGATATTTTAAGTTGTAATCATCACATTTTAATGAAACTTGGTACATAGATGTCATATGACACTGCACAGACTTGGTAGTTTTTAGGGTAATATCAGTACATATTAATTACCTAATTTGCATAATTAATTAATTTTCAGCTTTTGATATTTTAAGTAGTAATCATCACATTTCAATAAAACTTGTACATAGATGTCATATGACACTGCACAGACTTGATAGTTTTTAGTGTAATATCAGTACATATTAATTACCTAATTTGCATAATTAATTAATTTTCAGCTTTTGATATTTCAAGTAGTAATCATCACATTTCAATGAAACTTGGTACATAGATGTCACATGACACTGCACAGACCTGATAGTTTTTAGGGTAATATCAGTACATATTATTACCTAATTTGCATAATTAATTAATTTTCAGCTTTTGATATTTTAAGTAGTAATCATCACATTTCAATAAAACTTGTACATAGATATCATATGACACTGCACAGACTTGATAGTTTTTAGTGTAATATCAGTACATATTAATTACCTAATTTGCATAATTAATTAATTTTCAGCTTTTGATATTTCAAGTAGTAATCATCACATTTCAATACTCTCAGCACACGGGAGTTCTTTCTAAGCTTTCTTTGATTTGTATTTAAAACTAAACCACTTCAGTCACCCTAAAAGGTTGTAGATCATGCTTGTGGTGTTTGTTTCAACTCCATGAGTTGTTGAGAGTTGTTTGATTTGTCTAATCTCGAGTACAGAACTTGATGCAAACTTTCTTGAATGGCATGATTGTTTGGCACATTCATCAACCGATGTAGGTGATCTGACTCAAAGAGTCAATCAAGATGCAGGGAAACATTGATTTATCGAATACCGACAGACATTTAAAACAAAAATGAATTTTTCAGCCTTCCAATGTTAAACTTTCCACTCATTGTTTGGTATATTCAAATATAAAACGAAAAATTTAACAAAATATCACAATTTGTGAGACTTTTTACTTTTATTATTTATTCACTTTTGGTAACTTGTGCAAATAAGGGTTTGAAGGATGTGAATAAATAATTTACTCATTTATTATGTTACCAATCACAGTCCCTCTATCACAGCTGTTGACCAATCAACACACCATGTCCAATTTTGGAGCACCGATGAATTGTATTGCAAATGTATTGGAGTCTGTTTTTTGGTAGCAAAGCAGAGAAACTGATGGGATGATGGGAGAAGCTGGAGTATAAAACAAGGAATTCTTGTTTTTCCCCCAAACAAAATATTAAGCAAGTTTATTGTTAGAATAAATAATAGCTTCATCAATCTCACAAGCTTATACTGACACAGGGTCAAGCAGCTATCAAATCAAAGGCATGAATTCATGCGTCAAGGCAGTCATGATATTCATATATAGTAACAATGAACTTTCAACAACATGCAGGGCTTTAAGGCACATTTTTTCCTTGTCCATGCCTGTAGTTACATTTATGTCATAGTAAATGTCATAGTTATGTTATGTTTTAATTAATCTGTTATTTTAATTTTTTGATTATCCTTTTTACTTTTTTTTTTTATTTCACTTGACTATGTTCATCTTCTATAGAAAGAATAATGTCAATAAAGTTATCTTATCTTATCTTATCTTATGTCATGAGTAAAAAAAAGATCGAAGTTGAATTATTGCTGGTACAATGTGTTGTGATCTAATAAATAATGCTATGTTTTGCATAAAAAGTTAAAGAATACAAATTCAAATCGTTTTGTAGCTCCGCTGTCAACTTTGTCGAGCGGAGCTTATCGTATGAGTGATTGTCCGTCGGCATCCGTGTCAATGTTTTACTTTTTGACTTCTTCTTGAAAACTACAAGCCTGAATGCTTTGATACTTGGTGTGTATGTACCTGGTGTAGACCTCTCTTAGATTTGTTCATTTCATGATGATATCTTCAATTCTCTGATTTTGGTGAATATGTTTGTCATTTTTGGTAAAACGTGATATTTTCGACTCCTTGTTAAAAACGAAAAGTCCAATTGCTTTGATATTACATATATAGGTACATTGTACTACATATGGACCTTTCTCAGATTTTGTTCATTTTGTGATGATATCTTCAATTCTCTGATTTTGGTGAATATTTTTGTAATTTTTGGTAAAAAGTGATATTTTTGACTTCTTGTTAAAAACCACAAGTCCAAATGCTTTGATTTTATATATATATAGGTACTACATGTGGACCTCTCTCAGATTTGTTCATTTTGTAATGATATCTTTAA